CCGCGAAGAGCCTGGCGCAATTGGACTGGACTCAAGTTATAGACTTGCGTTAAAGTGGGCAGAAAATAGTATTCTTTGCAGTATCAGGTGATTGTACATAATAATACTATTAATACATATCCACAGGCGTGTCGAATTCTGTTCAGAATCCTTCAATGAAGGAACAGTTAAATACATCTTTTACAGGTCAATATGTGTCGCTTAATGTTGATTTACACGTCCATCTTTTCATGAAAGAGCTCAAAGCGCACATTTACTACTCGTGGTTGTTACAGTTTATTATAAAACCCACTACTAAATAGAAAAGTGGGTTAAAAATGACGGAATAATAAATCCTCTTTTGTGCAAGTGTATTATAATTAAAAAACCATATTTGCTGGTTTATAAAGTGCAACCGTTGTACAAGGTGCCATTGCATTTTTAACAATAAGAATATTAACAAAAGGAGCTAAAAAGAGAAGTATATTCAATATGTAGGTAGATGCAGTTATTTACCCTCTGCACCCAACTAGTCACCTCCTTTTGACTTTTTCCTCTTGTTTAGCTGGAGGGCCAAGTTTCAAGCCTCGCTTTCTGCCCTCGCGCGAAGTCAATGTCGTGTCTTTCTTTAAGATACCATCCGTCGGCCATGGCTTGAAAGGGTAGTGGTAACCTTTTTTTAAAGTGGCCAATTGACATTCGCTCACTGTTGTACAGAGTATCCAGCGATTGTCCTTCTTTTATGGCGGCAGCACAAACGTGCACACAGGGAAATTCCAAGTCTTGCCAGTTTCCACAGGTACGCTCTAAGGTCGTACACTTGTCATTTGGGCAACTTGGATGCAGTGTCAATGGACAGCTGAGGATGTAAGTGGTAGAATGCGCGTGAAGAATGGCTGTAACTGATATCAGGACTCTTTCTTTGAAGATCAGGTATCTAAAGTAACTTCCGTGTTATTAGTGTCATACCTAAAACTTCTAAGTACACGCGACGCGTTTACTATTTTGAGAACTACTGAATTGGAAAATAGTAATTCTTTTTTTTTTTGGTATATCGGAATAACTACACAAATCGATTCATAAATCTCAGTAGTTTATACTGAGTTATGGAAATTCCTCAGATATTCTCTGTTGGGGGCGGACTTGAGTTGGAAATCAAGTCACGTATGGCTGCGACCGACCTAAAAGGTGGTCGAGCCTCCTCCGCCTCTTGTGCTACCCGTTTCGCTCGTATCAGCTCCAACGTCGCCGGCATTTGCAATCCAAGCGCAGAGTGATGACGTTGGATACCGATTAGTTGTCTTGTCCAGTCCGTATATCTGTTATGATACTAATTTTAGGCGCCAGTACTTCTTGCGTTTCTCCACAGCAAGCAAACAGAGATCGAGAGAGATAATCTCCTTTGGTGCCGGGCACCTATTCAATATGAAGCTCCTTATAGCCTCTACCGATCGGAAAGGCAGGCGTTTTTCACCCGCTTCTCGATTCGATCGCCACGTTTGTGGTGTTGTTGTCATTCGCGTTCAAAATACAGAATCAAGTCAAGACCGCAGTAACCCCGGAGCAAGCCTATCAGCACCTGCTGAAGGAACGACTTCCACCGGGCTCCAGCTCTGGATCGACGCTGTTTGCGATCAGTGTAGAACGCGTCCAAATACCGACTGGCGCGACGTTTGGTGATGCTCACCGGAAAGGCGTGGGTGGAGT